GGCCTCCGCCCCCCGAGAGGCGCCGCCTCCCGCCGCCGGGGCCCCGAGCCGGGGAGAGCCGGGGCGGCCGGAGCGTCCGCCCCCGGAGCCTCCCGCAGCCCCACCGGGTTCCTCCGGCCCCGCCGAGCCCCGGAAGGCAGCGCCGGCCGGCCCGGCCTCCGCCCCCCGAGAGGCGCCGCCTCCCGCCGCCGGGGCCCCGAGCCGGGGAGAGCCGGGGCGGCCGGAGCGTCCGCCCCCGGAGCCTCCCGCAGCCCCAGCGGGTTCCTCCGGCCCCGCGGACTCCTCCGCAGCCCCAGCGGGTTCCGAACGCCCCGCGGCTGCCTCGGCCATCACGACCATCTCTTATTAGAGGGAGCCTAGAGGGGGCTGCGAGGATGGTGAGGGGTCTGAGGGGCCGTATGAGGAGCAGCTGAGGACACTTTGTTGCTCAGCTTGGAGAAGAGGAGGCCTAGGGGAAACCTCATCGGGATCTGCAGCTTCCTCGCGAGGGGCAGAACCATCTCTCCTTTCTGTGACTCTGTGATCTCTCTCAGTGACAGGACCTGAGGGAGCGGCTGGAGTTGTGTCAGGGGAGGGTTAGGTTGGATATTAGGAAAAGGTTCTTCCCCCAGAGGGTGGTCGAGCACTGGAATAGGCTCCCCAGGGCAGTGGTCACAGCCCCAAGGCTGACAGAGCTCGAGGAGCATTTGGACAATGCTCTCAGACCCATGGTAGGATTCTTGGGGTTGTGCTGTGCAGGGCCTGGAGCTGGATTTCGCTGATCCTTGTGGGTCCCTTCCAACTCAGGATATTCTATGTTGCTGTGATTCTGTGGCCACTCTTAACTGCAACACACATCTGCCCAGCTGCAAAATGATGACAAGGTTCACACTGCCATCAAACAGGGCACAAACCTCCTGAGTTGCTGGGTCAGCATGGCCCAGTTGAAGGAAGCTCTGCTTACAGGTTAATTTGTTTACTGATATTTCACATCTTTAAAATTGTAAGATGCATGGAAATCACAGCCACAGTTCTACAAACCATCCCAGGTGTACCAAGCATATGAATGGTGCCATCAGCCAAGCCTGACAGGGAGAATAAACTATGGAATCATAGAACATCCTGAGCTGGGAGGGACCCACAAGGATGACTGAAGTCCAATTCCTGGGCCGTGATAGTGCCAAGATACAACTTACTTTTGCTCTCTATGTTCAGTATTAGCATGAGCTGCTAAATAATTGTGTGTGGAGAGAGGGGCACGTTGGCACTGAAATGAAGTGAAACAAAGAGGGGGAAAGATGAAAAAGCTGATTTCCTTCCAATTAAACTCCGTCCGTCAGGGTTGGCATGGCAGAGTATAGCATATAGGAACGCGTGACTAAGCCGTGCAAAATATGACAGAGATGTATTCCTGCTGGCAGTGTCCCACTGGAGAGGTAGCAGGGAAATAGTGCACGGTTCATCGGCCTTCTGAGCCAATTGGGATGCTGTATCAAACACCACCCACTTGGTAATAAAAGCATCCTGTGTGTTTTGCAGGAAGCTCTTTGGGATTAGGAAATTTTGACATGGACACTGTGCAGAAGGCCCCCTTAGGCTGCCTGAATTGGGCATTGTTCCGGCTTTATTTCATTGCTGGCTTTTGTGCAGTTTCACAGTTTACAACATGGGGCTTCACTTTAGTTTTTCAGAAAAAAATTAAAAAAAAAAAATCCATCTGGGCAGGAGGTCAGATTGGCAATGTGGGCTATTTCCCAAACACCGGTGTGAGGCTGCTCACATGAGTTATTTGTAAACACTGCCCCTGACGCTGGCCCTGCCTGTTCTGAGCTGTTTGCCAGCTGCTGCCCGGCCTCTGTCAGATCCCTCTGGCAGAGCAGTGCTTCCCCATAGGATGAGGGAAGATATGTAAAGGACTTCTCAAACAAGAACCACCTCCTACAGTTTGAGTGAAGGTGTTGGAGGTGAAGAGCCATTAACATGACAGTTTTGGAAAGCATAATTTGTTTCAAGTGGCTTCAAGGTTTTTTGGTTTGGTTTGGTTTGGTTTTTTGTGGGTTTATTTTTTTTTTCTTTCCTCAGATGCTTTACTGATATTTCACATGTCATTTGCCTAATTTGGGAATCATTCCTGGGTCCTGGTCTGGAATGTGGGATTTCGCAACTCTGTTCTTCAATGACATCATGTGGTTTGTACTGAACACAGCAGTAATAAATGAGAGCAAGGGGAGTTTACCAGCCTGTCTACAATAAACATTTTATCTGAATAGTCATCTTTTGGGCATCTGAACTAATTTGTGTGGATTAGATTTTACCTAGCAAGACATGCTTTCCATGCATATAGGACAAAGGGTCCCACTTGGATAACAAAGAAGCTACATCTTGGTTTCATCTCCCCCTTAGCAGTGGTGGCTGTGAAAGCCAGAGTTCCCGAGAGCTTTGGTAGAAGAACACGACTTTGAGAAGCCAAGAGGAAATTCAGTCAGGGAAAAATGCAGAAAGTATTTGGTTTCAGTTCCAATGAAATCTTGTGTTTCATTCCTGACACCAACACGCACCTGGAGGAGGAGAAGGTGGATTGCAGGGGTGGGAGTTGGTGTAGCTTTTCTCTTCACTGAGCTTTCTTCCTGCTTACACCTGTTCGATGTCATTATAAGTTGGAGCTCTCATGAGCAATTGCACTTCCTGTAGAAGAGTCCAGTACTGGCTTAATAGGAGGAGTGAGCATGTTTCTGTGTGCAATTGCTTCTGGGAATGGCAGATATCTGTATTTATGGATGCCTGTTACAGGAGTATCCCCATTTGTGGGGAAGGCTCTTCATGCACTGCTTAGCAATTCATATGGAGTTCAAGATGCCCCTTCCTTTGTGCTCTCAGATGGCCTCCAGGCAGCACCCAGATGTATTTTTAGCTCTCAGAATAGGGGAAAATTTGCAAGAAATTGTGCAGAAAAGAAATAAGCAAAAGAGTTGAAGCTGGCTCAGTTGTCGGATTTAGGCAAGCTGGATTTCCAGGAAGAAATAAGTGTTTCTGTGAGAGAAATGAAATGTGTACAAAATGAGGCAAACTACCTTCCCAAGGATTTGCTGCAGAAGTAATACACCTTCTGGAAAAAGACCAGAGTCGAGTAAGGAAGGAAATAAAGTGGAACTTGTAAGGGATCAGTGCTCCATGAGCACACCTCTCACATCTCAAAACCAAAAACCCAGGCAGAGATATAAATTCAATGAGCGACCAGGTCTGCATCAAAGAGCGTTTGAGCTGGGATGTGAGACAAGAGAGCACAGAGTAATAGCAAGATTTAATCATTCTTCCGGTGACTATCGATAGATAACCTCAACCAACAGTGCAGTAAAACTGCAATGCCTCATCTATCACGAGTGGTCTGAGGGCTGCAGAGATGTCCTATTGCTAATTAAAGACCAGCGATGTAGAGCAAGCAGGGGCTTCAGATATACTTGGACAAGGCTTTGCACATTCCTAGTTAGCATGTTACATTAGCCTGTAATTCCTATAACCCTCTAAAGCATTTATGGCTTTTTACAGACATTAAAAGCCAGTGTTACTGCTGAAAAAGGCTTGTAATTGAAGTCTATGATAAGCAGCAGATTCCTTTTAAACGAGGTTGGTGCAGTCATTAAGCTGGGGTGCAGAGATTATCTCGTGAACAGGTTCTACAATATTGCTAATACACACAACATTGCAGTGTAGCAGTTAATCTGAAAAAAAAAAAAAACAAACAGGAAAAGGAAGGACAGCAGTAAACCACAAATCTTTGTTTAGTTTGGATAACAATAATCAAAGAACACAAAAGCCGATTATGACTTTGCCTCCCACTGCTTTGTGCCTATTCATGCAGCCTGTCCTGGCTGGCCCACTGAAGTGCAACCTGAAGGAAGCTAACAAATACTTCAAGTCTTTCTTTTTTTTTTTTTTTTAAATAATTTGCAGATGATGTGCTTAGACTGGTTTTCTTCGTCTTAGCTGCATGAAATAAACTCACCAGGGTGGTAACGGCTAATCTTGCAGCCTCATATGGCATTAGAGGCTTATTGATGATGTTAAAGTGACTGCCAAGTAGCTGGATTCCATCCAGAATTGCAAGTGACCTGGATATGACATAAAGATAATTGGATTTAACCCCTATATGCACTATTTCCTGGTCCAGCTGAACGATTGTCAGACATGGCACTTATTTTGTCATTGCAGGAAAATACGTCAGATCAGCTCAAAGGGGAAATATCTGTGCCGTAAGAGTGTTTCTCATCCATCAGTACCTACTTACCCATGTCTTAGAAGGCCTGCACAGCTATAAGAAGCAGAGAATCCACTTGAGCCCTTGCGGGATGCTGCACTAACACAGTGTGGTTGTTTCCACTGGGAAAGCAACTCCAGGATGTCTACACACCCTTCATCACACAGACTGTGCAGCCGGGATCCAATGTAATTGGAGGTCACAGAGGTGCTGTGTCACCTACCTGTCCATGCCATGGTGGAGCACCTCACCCTGGCAGGTGCATCTGGAGAGGTTATGAACTCTCCCCGTCCTGCACTGTGGGTTGGACCTGCTGGTCCTGGTGCTCTTCTGTAAAGCATGAACCACCTCAAAGGGCTACAGACAAGTGAGTTGTTGAGAGACACACGCCTGGCCAAACATCTGTTGGCAGTTCCTAGGAATCCTAACACCCAACAGAGCTGGGATAAGGCAAACTGCCTCCTGGCTCTCTGACACGTTCCCCTTTAAGCAGCAGCAGACTATAATTCTGGTTTAACTGAGCAATGCCTGTAACTGTCATCCCAGCACTGGCTTTTTCACTGGAATGACAATGATCTTGAGTTGCCTGGAATAAGTCTCCATGTGGTGCAGCTCCC